CTCTCTTAAGTTTCTGTTGTCAATGCATTCTTATAAGCATTACCACAGAATTCAGCACCTCAGACTAGTTTAACACATTTCCGCTGTTAGACACTGTAGTGTTATCAGGAGTGTATCAATATTTGGATATCTCAACATCTAGTACGAATTAATACGGAATACATTATACTATATTATATTGATACCACTCCTGGTGTTTAATCCTTCAACAGTTTTGCCAGCCGAACCGCATTATGATATAGATTCCGGTGACAGTTATTTGTCACGCTTTGTCAATAATTCTATTTTGCAATATAGCTGCTTTTTTTAATTGTAATAGCACCGGATGACGTGTCCGCCAGCAGTGTAATTACACCATCGCGTACTATACTTGCAGTGGTGCTGTGGCCGGGTATCGACGGGGCGGCGTCGTCTAATCAGTGCAGTATGCAGCTCTGACGTCGAGTCCAGAGCCAGAAACTCTAACCGGCGAATTCTAGGCATGGTTCTGCATTCGGTAAGCAGAGGCTCCGGTGGAGGAGCCAGAAGCCAGGATGTGAACCTGAGCATAGGTCCTTGTGTGAGTTAACTAAAATTGCTCTTTTGCTTTGAATCACAAGGATAGGTAACATGAACAGCACTGTTGAACCCCTGCATCAGCAGCAGTTGTCAACCCCAAGTCGAGTGGTTGCTGATCGGGTGCAGGAGAACTTAACAATTTTTGGGCTGTAAGATCTACGAACCTGTCAACACCGTGCGTGTTGTGCGTATAATTGCTAAGTATTAGGGTAAGTTATATTATTAATTGTCAGATCGTTTGTGAAGTTGAGTGTGCTCCGCGCCTTTGAATGCATTTTATGTAACAAATGCGCAATTATAAATATAAGAATATAATAATAATAATAATTTATCGGTATAAAGTTTCCATAGTCATTATTCAGTGTCCGTTGCTAAGAGAGCATGATGATTGATCCAAGCGTGGTGGCCCACCCGAAGAGCCGAACAATTAGAGGGCTCCAGAGGCGATCCGTGACATCCGAAACTAGAACGATGAGTAATTATGTAAGTTATATCGTATCAACTGTTCAAGTTGAAAGAAACTCGACATCACAAATGGTACATACTTTATATTTTCACAAATTAACGAGCTGTTCGCCAATGGAGTATTCAACTTGCACGTCGCCTTTGCAGTCTCAGCCTTTGCAACGCATCAATTTGTATATAAAGTAGGCATTTAACAGGGTTGTTGCCACATTGCAGCCTGGAATTACGGTCGGGCGCAAGTACCAGGCAGGGATTGGCTGTTGGAGCTATGGAATGAAGCTGGTGCACGATGTCGACGTGGCGATCCGCAGATGACGAGACTGGACCTGGAGCACTTTGATGTACGCAGTAAGCACTTCCATGCATTTTCCAACATGCTTCGCTTAGCAATGTACGTGAAACACATAGTACGTCTTTGCCCTGCGGTCTGTTGTTCATCGACACAAAAAAATTATAGCCTACATGTTAAACTATGCCAGCCAAAGCACTGGCATTACAGCGGAATATGCAATAATTAGGCGCCTATAAAATACAGTACGTCCTTGTTTCGCTAACCGGCCGATCGCGGGGGAGTCCGCATTCTAAAGGCGCGCGCGGTGTCGAAAAACTTTATTGTGATGGGCCAAAAAGTTTTTTTTTTTTTTTAATTCCGCACGTGATATCGATCGATGAATGCATTGCATTTGACTTGAAAGTCATTACATGTGATTCGTTTTATGGAAGAATACAAACAAGTATTCTAGAATAGCAAAAAAAATAAAAAATATTTTGATAACCAAAAAAGTTTATGCTGCCTATTTGTGTCCAATTTCTTTCAGGCTTCGGTCAGCGGAAACAAAAATCTGTTTTTCTTATGCTTGCTGAAAGTCTTAATATTTTATATCATTGTTATTTCATCTGTGATTCTTTGTAGGTGACGATCCAAAAGGTAGCCTGCAGCATGCGGGCTGCTTTGCTGTATTAAAGGCAATGCATCGCTTGACGTCTAGCACAGGCGTGTTTACCAGCAAAAGTTCTGCGAATATTCGCTGATTGCGCAGAAAGATTTGTAGTCTCTACCAAATCGAATGGGAACATGCCTTTTCATCAGACTGGTAAATATGGCTTTACTGGGCTTTACTAGACTATTGCCATATACAATTAATTAAATGGCAATGTTTTTGTATTAATTACCTAAGGTTGCATTTTATAGTGTATTTGTTTGCAGCATACGTCTTAACATGCTTCTTGAACAGGAATAAATGATGTGCAACGAATATTTGTTTGAGTGCATAACAACATGATAAAAAAATGGCGAAGTTGAAACAAATCTGTATGTGTCAACATGGTATTGTGTTACCAGCATGCCAAAATGTGCCACAAGCCAAGCTCTACGAGTCGTGTGCTCCCAGCCTAATTGTCACTAAGGTGAGGGCTAGGCAACCTTCTTCTTGCCCAGACAACGTCATCATAACCCGGGCAAGCAGCTTACTCAAGAAAGGTCTGCACTCCTCATGAAGTTCATGAATGCTTACATGATGAGTGCTTCCACCTTTCATGATATTCAGAAGCTCTACGCCGTGCCAGCCATCGAGGAGAAATGGCTCCATTTGCAGCAGGAGAACCTCGCCAAATACGCACATAAGGATGTCGTAATTTTGGGTAAGCTAGTGCAGTTGCACTTGAACATCTTCATTTATGTGTTAGAGGTGCATGCCATATTGATCAATATTTACATGTGCTGCATTCCTTCTTCACGTCTTCGAACCTTTGCTGGTAAGTTATAATGCCATTCAATTACCGCTCACGGTACGCTCAAATGTTTGTATGTAGTGATGCCGCAGCAGCGACCGCTCGCCGGTGACATTCGGCGATGGTTCTGCACCTACTACCGGCCGTCGTTATGAGGCACGAAACCCTTCTGGTGCTCCGACTATTAATCCCTATCGACCAAGCGCCAACGTGGAAAGTAAATTCCAAACATAGAGAAGAACGTCCTGGATCTCGTGGTCCATGAGCGTTGCTGGCACATGAGATTGACGTTCAATAGGTGAGCAGAAGGGTTGGTCACTGAACGCCCATCCCACTAAATCACCCGCCTACAGTGAGTAAGTAAAGAACCGGCTGTGATGACAAAGGGTCAATGGGAGAATGCTAAGCACTTCCCCCCCCCCGGCAAAATAAAAAGGTTTGCGGCACAGCGGCGCTTCACTAAATGGTTTAAATACAATGCTTTGTTACAGTGTGAATCTAAGTGCAGACATCAGCCAATATTGCTACAGATCAATTCTATTGGTGTATTACACAGGAAAGAACCACCCCGCCGGGGTCAGGTGCATTCTTACGACGTTGGCATACGGTGCTATAAACTTTTGCAGCGTTGAATACGGTAAGGTAGATTATAATTGTTTTAATAGCATTTAAAATGGAGTGCACATATCTAATTGAGTGTTTTTTCACATTGGTTTTCACGTGTTTCAAATAATCAAATTGGGCGTATATGCATATGGAGAAAAGCGTTAATAGCAGAACAAATTTATTTGGTTCTACTATAAGCATTAAGTTGTTCATGGTTCTACTACTAATGTAATTGTGCTTCAGCGCGCTCAGAAGGCTGAGGCTGCGCAGAAGACTGGCGGCCTGATAATAGCATATAGTAAAGCCACAACTTTTGTTTTTTGCTGGCCGGCGAAGCCGATGGCTCAATCCACAAACCTGCAGGTAGCATTTTTTATCTAATATCACCCGGAAAAAAAGTTTGATTCAGTAAAAAATGCCACGACTTGCACTAGGGCTGTCATTGGTGAATCGAAGTGTATTTCGATGTGATTTTTTTTCCGATTTATTTTCGATATCGATATCGGTACGGCAAATCCATCGCGATTTATCGATGAAGGTGGGCATCGATGAACAGTCCTAACTTGCAACACTGTTTTGCAGTTGTTGCTCATGAGTCGGTGGGGCGAAACGATTTATACGGTGTTAACATGGCTAAATGCGTGCTTTCGGTATATAATGATTGTTAAAATTACAGGGTCTTTGGAAGGCTGTCTCCAGCACGTTCCTCGTGCATCCACGAATGAAGATTGGAGGACGGCGGCCCTGGCAAAGGTGCAATGCACGCGCGACATCGAGGGCCAACTTGTCCAACGTGAAGGTCTCTCAGTGGATGGTAGTAGCAACCTCAAAACCCTAGTTATGGAAGCTTTAAAGCGCCGTAGTGCTTGGACCGTAACAGATCGCACCCTGCCGTACTTAATGTGCGCTTCCACGGTATGCAAGACAAGATTTTTTGTTTCTGCAATGTTATCTGGCCCTGATTAGTCAAAACACCCGGGACAATTCAGATACTTGGCACTGCCGGGAACAGCGGTATAGTATGTCACTTGCGACATAGGAGAGTTAAACTAATATCTTGGAACGTGCCATACATCTTATCTACTTTTATGCAGATCACAGGTCAGCGGCCCCGCGCTTACTGCGAAACTTGTCAAGGAGCACACCACCGGGGAAGGACGTTTTTGATGTATGCACCGAAACGACTAGCATTTACGTAAGTAAACTAGTGTAACAGCATTTAACGTTTTGTATAGCAGAAATTTTTACACGTCACACACAAGGCATATTGTATACTTATGCTCAATTGTACATGATATGACATTATATATGATCAATATTTACATGTGCTGTTGCGCCACTTTTCCTTCTTCACGCAAGGTATATTGTATACTTATGCTAAATTATAGCTCTGTCATTTAACTAGTATTATGGTTACAATATTACAAATTTTAATATTTTACAGCTATCCAGTTACCGAGGCTAGGTGCTATCTAGCTGGTATGACTGATACAGCCCACGCGGAAGGGAAACTGAGGAAAGAAGCCAAATACTACCGGTGCACCTATGTAAGCTATGCAATCATGTTTAAGCAGCTTTGGCAAGTACACGTCTCGGGCATAGGACGCCCGATTGCATCAAAAAAATATAAATACTTAAAAATATGCTATTAGTTGGAAAAGAAATTGTAAACGCGCAGTAAATAAAGTGCTATATGTATGGTGCATATGCTAAAGATAGGCAATTATGTTACACAGGTACAGAAAGGTGTATGCAAAGAAGGCAGCAAACTGGGCAGTGAGTCCTTTGCGTGTAGCAAAGGACTACGATTATATTCCCGGCATGTTGGCTGACATTGTGGAGAGACGCCTCGCTGATGAGCTGCCACTCAGACGAGCTATACCATTGGCTGCAGAAGATTAGCAGCACAGTACAGCCAATTGAAGCGCCATCCATGGAGCAGCTCCTGGAGAAGCACAAGTCCCGCTTTGATAAGTGAGGTTAGTCTTAAAGCCTATGCTAACCCCAAAAAATTACGTCTGTTAAACTTAGTAATTTTTAGCTGTTATTTCTCAACTATATGCTTCAGTAAAATTGTATATCTATTGCATCTAGTTGCATAACAGTCTCCGAAATTTATAAACACCATTGCGCGCAGTGTTGTGCCTAGTAAACAGTTTCACAACAATGAACATACTGGTGCGTAGCATGTATGCCAAGGCACAAAGCTCGGCACAGATTCCAAAATCTATGTCACTACTAGGCTTCACCCCCTGTCAACTCTAATTGTCTCAATGATTTTACTGGATTTACTATTGCTTGAAAAGCAACAAAAACAACCTTTTGATTACATACCTTAAGTTAAGCTAACCGGTCGGCTTTAAAACCGGTGTACACTGCGTGAGGGTTCGGAAATCGATCCCTCACACGCCACACGCAGCATGAGGGAATTACTCGGCGCATGGCTTGGCCGAGTACTCCATGTCGTACTAAAGTATAGAGCCGATAGGCTGCGTGGCGCTTCGGCCTAAGTGGATCATCTGGATCCGATTCATACGCTCCAAGCACATCGTTCCGGTACAGCTCGAACGCTGCTAAATAAACTGGGTCGAGCACCATTCCACATAACCCCTGTAATAGGAGAAGTACACTTTTTGAGCAACGTTAGCGTTTTCGCAAATATAACGGCTAATGTCAAGGATATGGGAAACTAAGTGAAGACCCAGTTTCAGATTAATCCCAGTTTCATGCCTTTTTTGTGTTAATTTTTTCGCAGACTTCCGTGTGACCATTAGAGAAATTGTTGAAGTTCTGGAAAGCAGGTAACGTCACTTTGGTAACTATTAAAACTTACATCTTCTCTCGACAGGCACTCGTCCGGCTGATGCCCGCAGCAACACCGCTCCACTTCTGTCGGCATTTCTCGGCAGCTGCCACACGTGCACCATGAAGGAGCATCCCCGGATGGTGCCGGGTGATGTCCACCCGGCGCAGGTGTGTGGAGGTTGCATGTCCACAGCAGAATCTCAGGATGCTTACGTGCTAAAGTTAGCAGTAAGGCCTTTGATTCTGCCATGGACATGCTCTCCAGGTGGTCCTATTGATCAATAAATAATAACACAGTTTTTCTGAATTCCTCTATTGAAGAAATGCCTCTTATTCTAATATGTTGTAAAGTTTTATCACATGAATAAAGTTAAAGAAATACTACCAGAACCTGTTTGGTTTAATTTTTGAGCAACCACATGTCTACCTTGGCAGTGTAATTTGTTAGTAAATGTTTGCTAGTAATTTGTAATGCTGTGTGTTGTAAATAAGCTGCTGCTACATAGTTATGTTAACGTTACTAGTGAGTCAGCTGTTTCATTGATGTGCTACGTAAATTTCAAAATAAGTAGCACTACTCTCAAGTGTGTACTCGTGTTTACTTGTTCCTGTGTAAATATCAATGCATAACTTGTTGTCTGCAAAAAAAGTGATTATGCTGTGTATTGTACAACCAATTTTGCGATATGTGTAAATAATGTGAATTGAAAATAAATGGTGGTTGTGACATAATCAGTGTTAGATTGATGATGGTTTTATGTGGAAAAGCCCTTATGTCAAAGAATGGTATTATATTGTGTTCATGGGGCAACGATCAATAATCACTAAAGAACAGTTGATATGCACACTTGGCACAATCATGAAGCATGTCATTGTGCCCAAGGGCGTCGGAACTGCCGCGGTCGCCGCGGCACTTTTTTCAGGCCATAAATTTTCCGTAACCAAAATCTTTCAATAATTTATACCGTCTTTTGGCCGGTACATATATCATGTATATACGTGTAAATTGTAATCTAGGCCCCTATAAGCAGAGACCAGGGTCAGATGAGGTCAGGTCAGGGGCGTGTACAGGGGTGGGTCCAGGGGGTCCGGACCCCCCCCTGCTCGCGCAGAAAACGCATCTGAGGGGGGGTCTAATTTCAAAATTCTTNGCCAAGGGCTACAGACCGAGGGTGTTTCTTATTTATTCATTTAAAAGCAAAAGGATTGTAATAACTTATAAACGACATACATAGTTTCCGTTATAATATGGATAAATTTGCCCTAAAATGAATATCGTTCGGTTAAATAGCATTTAGGTATAAATATAATTTCAATAATCACTAAAGAACAGTTGATATGCACACTTGGCACAATCATGAAGCATGTCATTGTGCCTCTTCGGCCGCTCATCTTCATCTGCCAAAGAAGTGGGGAAGCAGTCATTTCAACTCTTTCATGGCTACGGTTTATTTACCTCTAGCAATTTCTGCCGTGCTTCTCGCTGTGCATTTCTGTCCCGCACAGCCTGCATGATCTGTTTGGCTGAGATGAGCTTGCCTTTTTCCTCTTCCTCGTCCTCTACCCCTTCCTCTGCCCCGTGTCGTTCTCTTTCGTTTCGTAGACGGTTGGGCCTTCTGTTTCATTCAAGGAACAACATAACGATTGCTAGTCTCCGAGAAAGAGTAAATAACATCTCATTTCATTCTATTACTTAGTGTAACTCAAGTCGATGAAATGCATCAGACACTTAACGCTCCTTAAAACGCAGCGGTTAATATCTAAATAGAAATAACTTCATATATTGTTATAAAAAATTACTGTGCTCCGTGTTAGATCTATGTTTTCGCATGTGTGCTACACTAATTTGGGGTGCTAAACTAGGCTTGGGCCTGTAAGGCCACCGTAGCAGTACGACTATAGATATGATCAGGAGTAAGATAATATAGGATCTTATTATCTTAGGACCTATATTATCTTTATATATATTATAATATATTATATTATATTATATTATATTATATTATATTATATTATATTATATTATATAATATTATTATTATCTTAGGACCTATATTATCTTACTCCTGATATGATATTGGTAGTTCTAGTAGAGTAGTAGTACAGTAGTAATATTGATCCAGACACTCATCGCATCCACAAACGTGTGCCCAATGTACCTCAGGCGAAGAGTGCATGACAGTCTCACTGCAACTAATGCTCGTACTAGACGACGACATTTCGAACTGTGCAATGCAGCAATGTGGCTAGTGTGTACATACGCTTGTTTGTGTTTACGTGGGTTGCCATGCAACAGTTCGTGCAACAGTACAGTGTGGTACGCAAAATTGTAATCGTGCATTTTGTCTTGGCATGAGGTTCTAAATCTAAGACATTTTATTGTCATTTCAAACAATTACCGTTACTCAAGCAACAATGGTAGGCATCATGAGAGTGAGAATAAACACTGAAAAACGCTGAAAAAAATTCGCAATGATCGCTTTAAGATATAATAGATTTGAACTTAGCCGGTAGAGGTGAACTGCGCAGTTTCCGTGGCATTCTGTGCCGCGCCACGTGCGTGGAGACGGGCCTCAAGGGTGGCCTAAGCACGTTTAAAAGGATACACTAAAAACTGCAATTTAAAAACAAGTAAAATATTAAAAGTATGAATGCCTCGAAATGGAATTATTGTCGTAGCGTACGCAATACATGTTGGAATGACTCACAGCGTATGTATTTATGCCGATTGACTCGCGATAGCGCGCACTAATCACGTGTTTGTTTCTCTGTTAGTGTTAGTAATCTATCTGTAAAATTAAAGGGACAGTAGCCTCTAGGATTTACTGCATACAACTGTACTTAGTTTATAACAAATCGTCTATAGTCTATACCCACACGTATTTGTTACCAGATACCTAATTTCATTGTTATAATTATTTACGCATCAACGCTGGGTGTTGCTATCCCACGGGCATGGAGGGAGGTCACGTGATAACGTTGACGATGACGTTCAAAACGTTAACCCTAACGGTAACCCTCACTCCAACACCGCCAACACTAACACTCACACTAAATATATATGTGTCGCCGCGCTATATATAGGCATTGTGATCCACAAAAATTAATCTATGGTGTGGGGACAGATATCATGATGCAAAAACCCTAATCCTAACCCTAATCCTAACCCTAACCCTAACCCTAATCCTAATCCTAATCCTAACCCTAACCCTAACCCTGACCCTAATCCTAACACTATCCCAACACTAGTGCTGCCACATTGTGGTCACCTCCCTCCACGCCCGTTGGATAGCATTACCCATCAAGGCTACGAAATTTGAACGGCGCCATGACACCCGCGACCGTGCTGCCACCCCGAAAAAGTTGCGTAATGGACAATTTATTTTGCAGGTTACAGACCGAGGGCTAATCACAAAAGTGTTCCTTGCCCCATGAACACAATATAATACCCTTCTTTGACATAAGGGCTTTTCCACATAAAACCATCATCAATCTAACACTGATTATGTCACAACCACCATTTATTTTCAATTCACATTATTTACACATATCGCAAAATTGTGTGTACAATACGTACACAGCATAATCACTTTTTTTGCAGACAACAAGTTACGCATTTATATTTACACAGGAACAAGTATACTACTTGAGAGTAGTGCTACTTATTTTGAAATTTACGTAGCATATCAATAAAACAGCTGACTCACTAGTAACGTTAACATAACTATGTAGCAGCAGCTTATTTACAACACACAGCATTACAAATTACTAGCAAACATTTACTAACAAATTACACTTCCAAGGTAGACATGTGGTTGCTCAAAAATTTAACTAAACAGGTTCTGGTAGTATTTCCTTAACTTTATTCATGTGATAAAACTTTACAACATATTCGAATAATAGGCATTTCTTCAATAGAGGAATTCAGAAAAACTGTTATTATTTATTGATCAATAGGACCACCTGGAGAGCATGCCCATGGCAGAATCGAAGGCCTTACTGCTAACTTTAGCACGTAAGCATCCTGAGATTCTGCTGTGGACATGCAACCTCCGCACACCTGCGCCGGGTGGACATCACCCGACACCATCCGGTGATGCTCCTTCGTGGTGCAGGTGTGGCAGCTGCCGAGAAATGCCCACAGAAGTGGAGCGGTGTTGCTGCGGGCATCAGCCGGACGAGTGCCTGTCGAGAGAAGATGTAAGTTTTAATAGTTACCAAATGGACGTTACCTGCTTTCCAGAACTTCAACAATTTCTCTAATGGTCACAAGGAAGTCTGCAAAAAAATTAACACAAAAAAGGCATGAAACTGGGATTACTCTGAAACTGGGTCTTCACTTAGTTTCCCATATCCTTGACATTAGCCGTTATATTTGCGAAAACGCTAACGTTGCTCATAAAGTGTACTTCTCCAATTACAGGGGTTATGTGGAATGGTGCTCGACCCAGTTTATTTAGCGGCGTTCGAGCTGTACCGGAACGATCTGCTTGGGGCGTACGAATCGGATCCAGATGATCCACTTAGGCCGAAGCGCCACGCAGCCTATCGGCTCTATACTTTAATACAACATGGAGTACTCGGCCAAGCCATGCATCGAGTAATTCCCTCATGCTGCGTGTGGCGTGTGAGGGATCGATTTCCGAACCCTCATGCAGTGTACACTGGCTTTAAAGCTGACCGGTTAGCTTAACTTAAGGTATGTAATCAAAAGATTGTGTTTTTGTACCTTTTCAAGCAATAGTAAATCCATTAAAATCAATGAGACAATTATGGTTGACAGGGGGTGAAGCCTAATTGTGACATAGATTTTGGAATCTGTGCTGAGCTTTGTGCCTTGGCATACATGCTACGCACCAGTATGTTCATTGTTGTGAAACTGTTTACTAGGCACAACACTGGCCGCAATTGGTGTTCTATAAATGTCGGAGCTGTTAATGCAATAGCATGCATAATATTCAATTTGTGACTGAGAGATTATAGTGAGAAATACAGACTAAATTTACCAAGTTTAACAGAGTAATTTCTTTGTGGTTGCATAGACGTTAAGACTTAACCTCACTTATCAAAGCGGGCTTGTGCTTCTCAGGACCTGCGCTCATGGGGCATTGCGCTTCAATTGGTGTACTGTGCTTGCTAATCCTGCGCTGGATTTCGGCGAACAATGAGTATAGCCTCGTCTGAAGTGGCCGCTCCACAGCGAGGCTGTCTGTCCACATGTCAGCAAACATGCCGGATTAATCATGTCTTTGCTAACGCAAAAGACTCATGGCAGTTTGCTGCCTTCTTGCATACAATTGCCTGTACCTGTGTAATATATTGCCTAAATTTTTCATATGCACCATAAATAGAGCACTTTATTTATGCGCTGTTTTACAATTTCTTTTCCAACTATAGAGATTTATAAGATTTTATTTTTTATATGCAGATTTTTGCGTGTTACTTGCAAAGCTGCCTAGGTGCACCGGGTAGTGCTGGTTCTTCCTCGAGTTCCGCTGTCCGCTGTGGCTCGGATAGTCGAGTACAGCTAGAAAGACTGCCTGGTAACTGGATAGCTGTAAAAAAATTACAATTTGTAATATTGTTACCCTTATACTGAGTTAAGTGACAGAAGCTATATGAGATAAAGTATACAATATGCCTTGCGTGAGAAGGAAAAGTGGCGCAAACAGACACTGTAATATTGATCTATAAGGGCATCATGTATATACAATATATACATGTTATTCATGTTACATTGAAGAATAAGTATTCATATGCCTTGTGTGTGACGTGTAAAAATTTCTGTCTACAAAAAAAAAAAAAAAAAAACAAAAAAAAATTAGTTAATGTTGTTACACTGTTTACTTACGGTCAAATGCTTTATGTGTTGGTGACATACATCAACACGTGGCTGTTAAAATTGTCCCAAGCAAGCGTAGTGTTGTCTCTAAAGTTAATAAATAATTGGCATGGTTCACAGATAGGTTGAAACGCTCTGACCTGTTCTCGATTGCAGTAGGCTGAATTGTGTTTTGACTATTAAGGCCCAGATAACATTGCCAGAACAAAAATTAGTTTGCATACCTGAAGCGCACATAGTACGGGAGGGTGCACACCATGTACCGGTCCAGCACTACGAGCTTCAGAGCTTCGTAACCGGGTGAAGTTGCCTTCATCCACTGCAGACCCTCACTTGGCAAGTTTCCCTCGATATCTGCGTGCATGCACTTGCCAGGGCCGCCATCTCCAACCGTCCATTCGTGGATGCCGCGAACGTGCTGGAGACAGCTCTACCAAAGACCCTGTAATTTTAACCATATCATATACCAAGCACGCATTGCCATTTAACCTGTATAAATGTCGCCCACCGTTTTTAGCACTGTATTACAATAAAAAACAGCATTTCAACATAGCATTGATGACAAGGTGACAATAACTGTCACGGAACTCTATATCGTAATGCTTTGGCTGCAAAACCTTGAAGATAACACTACAGTGTCTAACAGCGGAAATGTGTTAAACTAGTCCGAGGTGCTGAATTCGGTGGTAATGCTTATAAGAATGCATTGACAACAGAAACTTGTGAAACAAAACAGTAAGCAGTTGTATAACAGTAACCAGTAAAACCTGTTAGGCAAGCTGGTATTTGGATGATTAATCTTGAAGATGTAACAAAACAAAACTATCTAGGCAGTACCAGCCCCACTAGACGATCTGCAGCCGGATATCCGCGCGAAGCGCAAAAACGCCGCCTCGCGGCGATCTAACACATTTTCGCTGCCCCCACTCCAGCAACCTTACCCAGGTCCTTTAGGTAAAGGATAAAGGTCCAATAATCGCTCAATTCAGCAGTTGTGGCGATTCCACAAGCTTTTTCACTACGCACGTAGGTAGAGAGGGCATGAATAGAAATGCTCGTAATTGCTCGTTTGCTGGTCGGCGCGTTTCGTTTTCCTCTAGAAAAGCGAGTTTCCATTTTTGGTGTTTGGTAATGCCGTAACATTATTCTCGTACATATCGCGTCTCATAGATGGCGCAACGAGACCATGNGTCGTTTCAGGGTTTTTAAGGAATTGTATTATTGCACAGATGGTTTACTTGGCAATTCGTGTCAAGTATGGTGTTATATCATTGTGGTCAGTGAGAATTTGTTGGCGGCAGTGTGAAGCCATAGCGTTGGGATACCATGGTGCTGGTTTTGGTACCATAGGTAATAGGTTGTGTAAAATTGTGTACAGTTATTATGTGGGGAGGGGGGATGTGTTCATGAAGGAGTTATTGTAGACGGTATGATGGACAAAGAACGGAATTTATTTATTGTTGGGCTCTATTTCGTCAGGAACAGGTGTGTGTGAGTGT